TTGCCCTCTAAGGAGCCTGTTTTAAAGACAGCAAAACAGAGACACAGAGAGGATGAGCATCTACAGCTGGCTAAGCCGAGGCAGCCATACTCCAACCATGCTGTCTGTCTAAAGACTGCACTTCTCCTTTAGCAAGAAAGCTCATTTTGCTCTGCTCCGCTGTAGAGATGGCAACTCATTAAAGTGAAGTTCAAAATAGAAGAGGCAGAGCAGGGAAACCACACAAAATCTCCCTCCAACCCTGACGCACCAGGAAGCGGCTCCTTGTTGCTTTCTGCTTAACAGACAGGCTTTTCTTTACTTAGCCATGCAATTTATAAGCTATAATCTTCTCTGAATTGTGTAAAAAGAGTAAGCATCACCCTCTGGTGCATCCTAATCTCACAGTCTCTTAAAAGAGTGTGCACAGCACTAGGCAATGTTTCCCTCAGGTTATTTCCAAATCATTGGTTATTATGAGTGGTGCTGTGACAAACAGCTCTAGGCTTGAAACGTTACAAGCAAGCATGGCTTGAGCCTGAAGATTCCATTCTGGCAAATGAAATCTGCCTGTCAAAGCGAATGACTATGTAGAAAGGTACTTGATTCTTACATGGCCAAATGTCACTTCAGAGGCTTGCAATGACTCCACCACCAGCAGACACACATTCAGGCTTCTCAGAGACCATTTCTCTGGACTGCTTTGCACCAGCAAATGTCCTCTTTTCCACCTAGGTAAGGCACACTGAGGGCGTGCTCCCTTCTCCGAAAGCGTGCTTGCTCCCCAGGCTCAAATCTTACCCTTGTTGTCTGTGTTCTTTAAGATCACGAGCTGGCTTCAACAGAACAGTCCTGAACCCACTGAGACCGCTCTGAGCCTGGTGGTCCTCATTGAGAACTCACGGATGTCTCAGTATAGAAGGAGGCCAGACATTTATGAGTGTATCCATTCCTAATTCACTATCCGGCACACAGAAGTGCTGTTAACTGCAGATTGACCAACTGGGTTTTCATAGTATTTGGTTTACTGAAGAACCTGCCAGGGAGAAAAATCCTTTGCCTGAGCAAACGATTTCAGTTCTTCAGGTCTCCCAGGCCATTTACTCAAAGACAATGCATCTATTAAATACCTACTGTGCTCTAGAACTTGTTCTGGGCTAACACTGTGTGTCTGCTCCTGGGAACTTAAAATTCATCTTCTGTCCCCCAGAACCACCGGAGAGGAGCCCTGCCTAAGGTGTAAGCAGGGTCCCTGTGGGTGCTTAGAAGAATGGCTGCTGCCATGCTTTCTTGTGGGCGGTTGGGGTCTTCAGAAAGCTCAGTAGGGCTGTAATAAGACAGTTCTGTTCTCTGTCTTACCTGCCCCCTGTTCTGCTCTGGGACTTCAGGATCTATATCCTCAGTGTCCCTGAGACTCTGAGCAGATTTAGGGAAGAGATCATTCACTCCACAAAATGAGCGTGAGACACAGTTTTGAGAATCCCCAAACACTGCACGTTGGAGCTGTTTGCTTGAGCCAGGAGTGGTGGTGCAGGCCTGTAGTCCCAGTCCTCGGAACCCGAAGCAGGAGGATCACAAGTTCAAAGCTAGCTTTGGACTACACAGTGAGACCCTGGCTCTGAGACACAAAATAGATACTTGGCCAGTCAACAGAGGTATGCCCATACCAGCAGCCTTTACCAAAAGTGGGGTGCTCAGACTCAGACCACAGACCCACATTCAAAAGCTAGTATGTGAACTTCTTGAACCACAGCCTTCGGTGATACTCTGTTACTTCTTCTCCTTCTCCAACTTCTCTTAAAACTCCTGCAACGTCTCCTCCTTCTTCCACTTCCTTTTTCCTCACCTCCTTGTCTGCTATTGTATCAAAGTGCGCACGGAAACGTTCAAAGAGACAAATAATTCTGAGACTCTTTTATGACGCAGCAGCAGTCCCTTCCGCTGCCCCACCCCCTTACCCTTCTGTAGCTCAGACTGTTAACTGCAGCACTGAGCTCCATGCCACTAATACATACTCTGCCTTCAGCATTTTCACGTCAGGCTGCTGCTACCTTCCCTCTACTGAACACAAGTATTTGAAGGTTTTCTTCTCAGTCTTGTGGACACAATCATTGTCCCTATTTTCCTGATGAAGTAGCATTAGTATTAGTTTTAATTAGTATTAGTATTAGCATTTGGGACTGGGTCTCACCTTGCAGCCCTGGCTGGCTAAGAGCTTGTTAGCTATGTTAACCAGGCTGGCCCTGAACCCGGAACTTTACCTGTTTCTGCCTCCTGAGTGGGATTAAAAGTTAAGTGCTTAATCTGATTGGCCTGCTCTTTAATCATCTCCCCCTGAGGGGGGAGCAGCCTTACCAGGTCACAGAAGATGACAATGCAGCCACTCCTGATGTGATCTGATAGACTAAGATCAGAAGGAAGGAGAGGAGGACCTCCCTTATCAGTGGACTTGGGGAGGGGCATTCGTGAAGAAGGGGGAGAGAGGGTGGGAACAGGAGGGGAGGAGGGAGGGGCTTACGGGGGAATACAAAGTGGATAAAGTGTAATTAATAAAATAAATCAAAATTAAAAAAATAATAAAAAATGTTATGTGCTACAGAACCTGGCAATTTTTTTAATATTTATTTATATGTGTGTGCATGCATACACAGGCACATACGGTGTGTGTGTATGTGTGTGTGTGTGTGTGTGTGTGTGTGTGTGTGTGTGTGTGTAGGTCAGAGAATTTTCAGGAGTTGACTCTCTCCTTTTCTCACATGAGTCCTGGTGACTGAACTCAGATCACCAGGCCTGGCAGCAGGTACCCTAACCACTGAGCAGTACTATCAGCAGTATTTTGGTTAGCTCACTTTTCAAGTGATTCTGATGAGGCATCAAAAGCAGAAATGAGCATGCAGTAAGCTGCAGTGCCTGTGGATGGTGCCCTAAGCTGTCCCAGAGTGAACAACTGTCTTCTTTTATCACTGAGTTTTAAAATAAATTTCTTATTTTCTCAACAACTCAGTTCTAGAGTCGTTACTCAATACCTCTGAATTAAAAAAATACACATAGAAAAAATAAACATTCTATCATCTATAATATTGATTATAATTATTTTGATGTTTTGGGACCCCCTTGTTTATTTCTAACTTTTTGCTAATTTGGTTGTTGTTTAATTTTCTTTGAAATTATACACACACACACACACACACACACACGCTGCATGTATTCAGATTAGAGGAGAACCTATGGAAATTTTTTTTCTCCTTATACCACATGGGTCTGAAGAACTGAGCTCCCTGTCAGGCTCAGCTCCAGGCACCTTTATCTAGGCAGCCATCTCACTGGCCTTCCATGTGGCGTACAGATTGTAAGGCTGGAAGATTTCCCTGGGCATCTGATAGTCCTTCCTTGCTGTGATCCAGCTAGGAACTGACAAGGAATGGGAGGGGCAACCCCTGAGGTCACAGCCTCACCTCCCGGCTCTATCCATCCTTACTGAAGTCACGGGGGTTGGCTGCCTGGGCGATGAAGGCCCAGCAGCACCCAGAGGTCCCCATTGGCCAGGAAGAATTCTCTCTCAGCATTTGATGTACATCCTAGGGATGGCGCCTGGCTAGGGCCGTGTGCCTCACACAGCCCCTCCTTGATGCTCTCTTTTTCTTGGGATTCACCTTCTGTTTCCTGCCTAATGAGGAATGGGAGTTTCTGTGGGACAAACATCAAGACTACCTGACACCCTGGAGGCTACCAGCCACCATCTCTTGTTTTAGTCTTTTTTTTTTCCTCTCCCTTTCCGCCATAGAAATTGCTGTGGATGGCTGAGCATTGTGGGAATTCCGTACTGTGTCGCAATTTGGACTCTCTGAGAATAACAGCTTAATTTTATTTTTTAATCCACTGTCCTACATCACATATCCTTCCACATCTTCCTGGCTCCCTAGTGTTATGTGATGATCCCATCCTTATGAATTTATCATGAAAAAATGCCTTCCCATCACTTAATTGGGATTTTCATGGGAGGGAGAAAATATAGAGAGGTGTGTGTGTGTGACTGAGGGTGGTGATAGGGGTTCCTGTGTGGGGATGGGATGGCTTAGGTGCGGTGGGAGGAGTGTTTAATCTGCCTTCGTGACTGAGAGGTCCTTGCCCTTTCCAGGTTTCCTGAAGCTTTCTAAGTTAGAAGAGGATCATAAGGATACAGCGTGACCACAGCAGACTACATTTAAAGCCTCCCCTCTGTTCCTCTCTGTGGTCCATAAGAAGATATCATGAATTCCACCTGGAACTGCTGCTTCTGCCAGCAAACTCACCTCTTCACTGTGGTGCTGCTGGGCACAGGCAGGAAGATTAAGGTTCCCCACAGAGGCAGAAATGCCATTTCCCTAAATCCCAAGACCAGCGTCACTGATGGCTGGAGAAGAAGCCTCTGCAGTGCACAGCATTGACTTCAAAGGACAGAAGGAAAGGGTGGACTCGCCCCTGCCAACTCACAAGCAGAGCAGTGCTACGTTGCTGCTGATCTGATGTTTCCAGAGGTTGTTTGTTCCTGGCCTTTTTGTTATTTGATTGTTTGAAATGTGACATTTATGTGGAAGGTCTTCCTGGGTACACAACAGGTCCCCCTTTCTCCGCTTACAGCTGGGAGCTGGCACGGAACAAGCAGGGTTTGAAGACTCTGAGCTAGATTCTAAAGTGTCCCAGGCAACCCCTGATGTCACAGTGTCTCCTCCAAGCTCAGTCACATCATTAGATGTGTGAGCCCAGACGTCTTTGGACACAGAAGTCCAGGGCAGCTGCCAGCCCCACACTCTCGCAATAACACAAAGTGGTGGACAGGCAGCGGTCAGGCCTCACCTCCACTCAAGCAACACCGTAGTCTGCTGTCGGCTGGGAACGTAAAGACGGTATCAACGCTCTTCAGCCTTTTCTTGTCCCCCATGCACTGTAGCTTCTAACCAACACCGGGACAAGTCCTTTCCTACCACTGCCCACTGCCCCTGCCACCCGTCACCATCCCTGCCTTCGACTGGCAGTGTTACCTGTGGATGATGTGGTACCTCTGCAGGTACTCCAGAGCCAGGGCTAGCTCACAGATGTACAGCTTCACAGTCCTCTCGGTGAAGTGCACGTTCTGCTGGAGGTGATAGCGCAGGTCGCCGCCCAGGAGCAGGTCCACCACCATGAACATGTCTTCCTCATCCTGGAAGGAGTACCTAGGAACACAGAGGGACACGGGTCAGGGTGAAAACATCCCTCGCGTCTTCAGGATCAACACTCCATTTTACAGCAAGACAGACTGGGGCCCAGAGGGATGCTGATGCTATTGCTGTTTCTTTACTGGCCTCCCTGATCAGGTGGGAAGGTGTCCAGGTAACTTAACTCAGAGGGCTGAGAAGGTATCCCAGCTCAGAGGCGGAACAGTGTCCCAGGGGTATCCTGAGACATGGAAGCCCAGGAACTACACAGCTCCGAGAAGAGGCTTCTTCAGCAGAGATGTTGCAGTTCCCAGGGGAGGGTTGTCCCAACCCCTAATGAGCTGAGGAGCCTAGGAGTCTGAACTCTGTTCCTTCACTTCTTTCTTTTCTTCTTCTTTGTTGCTTCTTCCAATGAGAAAGTCACAGCAGGCAGTAAATCTCTTAAAAGAGATTTATTGGAGGGACAAGTCCAAACCTGATGGCCTCTGCTCCCAGGAGGAGACAGCAGGGAGCGAGGCAGACACAGCCTTTATATAGGTTTTTTTTTTTTTAGGGGGCAGAGCTTTCTAGGGCAGGGATTTCCAGAGTGAGGATTGGTGGGATTTCAAGTCTTGAGCTTGAGCTGCTCAGGGATTGGTGGGCTTGCCTGCTCAGGGATTAGTCAGTTCTCCTGCTCAGGGATTGATGAGTTCTCCTGCTCAGTGATTGGTGGGTTTTTGTCCAGACTTTTCACCTCAAATTAGCATAATCTGCAATGAGTCCTACTGAGGGGCTGGAGAAGACAGTTATAGAGGTCTGGGGGAGGAGCTGGACTTTTGGAGCTTTCTCAGGCAGGGGTCTGGCAACTGTGAAGGCAAAAGGCTGAAGCAGGAAAGGTTGTCATCACCATGGACAGCTACCATGGTGGTAGTAGGCATTCTTAGGCAGGAAAGGTTTCAGTTCCCATAGAAGTAGGCTGAGGCAGGAAGAGTCATCATGGACAACTCCTGCTGAGGTGCTGACCTGCCCACCATTTCTGTCTTCCATCTCCATGGTCCCAGGGCAAGAAGGAAGAGCTGACTGCCCTGAGGTGGGCAGGAGGAGCAGCCAGCATACCACTTTAAGATTTAGTGGTCCACGCTCAAGGGCTAGATACAGCTTTTGGGGCTATATCTATAGCTGTGTTTCTGTATAGCTGGCATAAGGAGGGGGCGGGGCAGGAGGCTAGTGTGCTGCAGTGCAGGGGGGCAGTGGGCCTCAGCAGGGGGAAGGCAGTGTGCTGTAGGGCCGAGGGGCAATGGACCACTGTGGCTTGGGGGAAGCAGTGGGCCACCATGGCTTGAGGACAGGCTGTTGTGGCTTGACTACCCAGGCTGTGATTTGGGGTGCTATCTCCACCAGGGTGGGCTGTCCTGCAGCCACTTTGATCTGGCAGCTGCTACAGCAGGGTGGCTATCGATACACTGTGCTCCTCAGTGGGGCATTGCAGCTCAGCATCTTGGCTGTCTCCACTGCCCCCTCAGCAATGAAAGCCCTACAGATATTGCCTTGGGCACCATGTTGTAGGTGAGCTGGCAGAAGGCTTTCCAATCCCATACCACATCTGCATGGAGGGCTCACCTCATTTCTTACAGTAAGGCAAGTCTGAGTGTCAACATTATCCCCAGGCTGGCAGGCAGACAGCCTATTAACTGGCTGGATGTCCATATGTTACATCTGGGTTTGCTTATTCTTTAAACCCCTGTTGTTACAGCATGTACCTGGGAGGTTCCACAAAGACCAATGTGTTGGAGGCTTGATGGCCAGCCTGTGGCATGATGGGAAGAAGATACAACTTTAGGAAGTGGAGCCTTGATAATGAAAACCTTAATGGAAGGATGTTGTGTTATTAAAATGGCATTGCAGCCACAGACTGAAGTCTCTGAAACACTGAACCAAAACAAGCCTTTTTTCCTTCAAAGTTGTTAGCTCAGGTGTTCTGTCTCAGCAATGGAAAGCTAACGGGGCTGTCAGGACTTGTAGTCTCAAACTCTGAAGACATGTCCTTCCCCGATCCCCAGCAATCCCCTTGCCCTCTGTTCATGCTGCTGCTTTCCACAGGCAGTTCATTCCTAGAACCCTTGAGCTCACTGATGCTCTATGACACTCAAGCCCAGGCATTTAAAATAGCTGGCAACTTTTACTTCCAGCTGTTGGAATCTGGCCCCATCCCACCTAACCCAATATTCACTGGCCAGTGGTTGCTACCACATTCCCACTGATGGCTAACACCAAGGCCAGCTGTGTATGAGCCACCTTGGCCGTGAGGATGTTCCAGATAAACAGACAAAAAGAAGAACAGCTCAGTGAAGCCCAGCTGGTCACAGAACATGAGTGGGAAATATCTTGGTGTTTTTAAGACTTTAGGTCTTAGTGTGGTATCTAATTTTATCTTTGTTATGTTTTTGAAACAAGAGAAAACTTACTGAACTCATTTTAAAATGTGAGGATAGAAGAGCCAGCACATATGATGTGAGAATTCTTAAGCGTTTTTAGAAGTGCCATCATGGCATCAGGCATCACTGACCAACTTATACCAACAGAGAACTAGCTGGTAGCCACCATTTTCCATTTTCTTCTAAAGCCGCTGATACCATCACAGGGCTGTATCCATAGCTGCATTTACCCTTTAATTACTTCTCAAAGACATGGATTGTGAATGCCATTGACATATGACTGAGAGTCAAACCTCCAACATGAGAGTTTGGGAGACATGTTCACACCAAGAAGAACTAAAAGAGCCACATGTAATGCAGTGTGTGTGTTCCTGTGTATCTGCTACTATGTGGAAGGTCTTAGAAGATTGGGATTGCTGGGGGGTGGGGGGCATGTCTTCAGAGTTAAAGACTGCAAGTCCTGACAGCCCAAAGACAACACATGTAACATGTCTTCCATGGAAACTCAGTTTGCACTCTAGTAGATGACAGACCATAGAGAACATCACATTAATAGCCACTGCTCTGTACCACACATTCTCTTCAACAACTGCTGGGCTGTCAAACGAGATCTCATTAAACATTCTACCAGAATCCATTGGAGAAGTGATGTCAGGTTTCAGGGGGAAGATTGCAGACTGGGACTAATTCTAAAAGAGACAACTGAAATGCAAAGAGAACATCATTTAAGCAATAATTCAACTTTGGGCTGTTTCTTGAAACAGATGTTCACTTTGCTCCAGGCCATAGACCCTGCGTTCCCAAGGAGATACACAGCTATAGCTGAGAACAGAGAGTGACCTTCCATCGGCCTCTGCTTTTGTGCTATTCTGCGGCTCTGTGTCATGTCCTTCTTGCTCCTCCTTGCACTAGAATGACAAGTATGCCCATCACAAGGCTGCATATTGTCATGGAAATGATGGAGATGCCGGGTGAGTGTGTTCTCACACAGTGACACTGGCCTTCTGAAAAGTCTGGATCATTAGCTTCTCCTCCAAGCACAGAGATAGCTGGGAGGTGTGAGGATGTTATTAATCCTGGCCTGGTTTCTGAGTAGGCCAGTATGGAGAATGCAATGTTTGTTATTGTGTGTGTGTGTACATATGCACACACGTGTATACGTGTGTTTACCCATGTAAATGTACATAGGAAAACTAGAGGTCAGCCTGAAATGTTGCTACTCATGCAGCTTGTTTTTGAGACAAGGTCTCTCCTTATCTTGAAGCTCACTGACTGGAGTAGACTTACTGGCAGCAAGTTCCAGGGATTCCCACGTTTCACCTTCCAGAACTGAGGTTGCACGTGTGTATCACCACACCTGGCTTTTTTACATTGTTTCTGGGGATCAAACTCAGGATCTCTTACTTACACAAAAAGAGCTTTTATCAATTGAGCCACTGTTACAATCTCTATTTTATTTTGTTATTTCTAAATACATCAATTTCCCACTTAGCTCCTAAAAAAAGCAAATGACTTATGAAACTCATAACACGACAAAATGAAAAAAAAAAAACACAAAGTTTGTGGCAAAGAATAAACAGGAAACCTAAGGAAATAGGGGTTGGAGAGAGAGCTCAGCAGTTAAGAGAGTTGGCTGCTCTTAGGAGCTGAGCTCAATCCCCAAAACCTACATGGCAGCTCACAACTGCCTGTAACTCTGGTTCCAGGTCATCTGATGCCCTCTTCTGGCATTTGTGAGCACTGCATTCACATGGTACATGGTTAAAATGCAGACAAACACTCATAAAATAATTTTTAAAAGAGGGAGAAAACAGGGAACAGGACAGGAGCCTACCACAGAGGGCCTCTGAAAGGCTCAACCCTGCAGGGTATCAATGCAGATGCTGAGACTCAGTCAAACCTTGGGCAGAGTGCAGGGAATCTTATGAAAGAAAGGGGAGATAGGAAGACCTGGAGAAGACAGGAGCTCCACAAGGAGAGCAACAGAACCAAAAACTCTGGGCACAGTGGTCTTTTCTGTGACTAATACTCCAACCAAGGATGATTCATGGAGATAACCTAGAACCCCTGCACAGATGTAGCACATGGCAGCTCAGTGGGTTCCCTAGTAATGGGACTCTGTCTCCAACATGACCTCAGTTACCTGCTCTTTGATCACCTCCCCCTGAGGGGGGAGCAGCCTTACCAGGCCATAGAGGAAGACAATGCAGCCATTCCTGATGAGACCTGATAGACTAGGATCAGAAGGAAGGGGAGAAGGACCTCCCCCATCAGTGGACTTGGGGAGGGACATGAGTGGAGAAGGAGGAAGGAGGGTGGAATTGAGAGGGGAGGAGGGAAGGAGCTACAGGGGGGACACAAAGTGAATAAACTGCAATTAATAAAATTAAAAAATTAAATAAAAATTTAAAAAATAGGAAAAAAGAGTTTCAAGAAAATAGAAGTAGACAAAAAAAAAAACCATCTGTAATCCATTTTCAAAGATCCTTTTTGCTTAAAATAGACAAAAAAAAATGCATGAGGCTTCCCCAGAAAGAGAAACATGGATCATGTCTGAACTCACAGTTGAGGAACCGTTTGGGAAAAGCATGAGTTATTGTTGCT